TCCAGCCCAACACACACACACACACACAGAAGAAACAAACAAACAGACCGGACGGTCAGCCCGGAATTGGTGATCAGGGAATTAAGGATAGAACGGGAACAAAAGCTACCAGCCAGCAATTAGCGAAGAAGAGGGAAGAGAGATGGATTTGGCACTATTAATTAACAAGGCAAAGAGATTATACCTTTAAATGGTTTGCACTTCAGCACAAGCGAGGTGGATGCCACCTGCGGTCCCTCCTGCACGGATGCCAAAGGATGCAGTGCAGGAGGAAGGCAGGCTCACGTGCACTGCTTTGTGGCCAGCACGGTGTGAATGTGTGTGCTGTGCACATCCCTCACAGCATCAGGCGGCGCTGGGGTTGAGCTGTAGGGCAGTGGGACGGCACAGGGCCTCCTGCAGCCCAGGAGACATAAAGCTCGAGCCGTGGTGGCTATGAGGTGTCACCTCCTGCAGGATGCTGGCATCTTTTGTCCCTCGGCAGAGCTGCTTGCTGCCGGCCGAGAAATGCTTCGTCCTGTGCCAATTTTTGCAGCTCTTCAAACAAGTGAAACCTTTCATTGTCCCTGTCAGGGAGCAGAAGAGCTGATAAGGGCTCTGTTAGCCACATACCTGCAAGGCAAATCTCCGGGCTAGCGAGAATTGTTAAAGGGATAAAGCTGTCCAATGAAATCCCCTCTGCACTCTTGATATATGCGTGTGCCAGCGGGAGATGGAGCCTGGACCTGGTCCCAGCAAGGCACCGTGCAGCCAGGGCTGACAGCACTGCCTGTTGCTGCCCAGCACTGTGCTCCGCAGCTGCACACCCGGCTTCCCCCTGCCTCCATCACAGGAGCTGGAAGCGTGGCCAAATGCTGACTACCCCCTCACTGCAGAAGGAAGAAGCAAGGAAAAAGTGCCAGCAAGTGGGAAAACCCAAGGCCTGAGGGTGGTAGGTGGAAATTGGAGAGAAAACTGAGAGATTTGCTTAAGGCAGTAAGAAAATCCCGGCCCTACATCTGCGGATCCGAGCCCCAGCTTCTAGCTCTTCCTCCACAGCATCCCAGGCAAGGGGGTGGGAATGCCACAACCCCCAAAGGGCCGCTCATTCAGACCCCCTGACTACAAGAAGCCCATTCCTGCAACGTGCTTTCAAAATACAGAAGATCCCCAGATGCACTGAAATTCCACAATAAGAGAATAAACATGAACCACAACTGACTGCGGGTAACCGCTGTTGTTTTCTCCATTGCAATGGATTTGTCCAGGCTGTGCACGTGCAACAGGCATTGCATATATGCACGCACATAACAAATGCTCCAAGACATAGAACGCTGCTCTGCTCATCCTCCACCCCACAGGTGCCTTCCTTCCTCCAAGTCAGTGCTGCAGGGGACAGAGGAGGTCTGTGTGCCTGCAGACATCGTGCTGCATGCTGCCACAGCTGAGCTCCACGGGAAATAAAACACGCTTCACCTGCAGCCAAAAGATTTGGCCAGTGATGAAAACCATGTGCAACCTGCAAGCCCCACACTCCCAGGACCTAGCACAGCAGATGTGACTGCACAGAGACACGGGGTCACAAGGAACCAGGGCTGGAGCAGCCAGAGCCCCCTGCCCCCCGTGTGCCATGCAGCACAGCACTGGGGTGCTTTGGGGATGGAGAGGGCTCTGGTGGAGGCAGGCGAAGAGCAGCAGCAGCAGCTGTTAGACAGGTCAGGGTGTGTAAATAGCTTGCTTCAGGGCATAACCCACTCAGTAAACTGTGGGATGTGCTGTTCTCAGGAGGCAAAGCAAATTGTCTGTGTTTAAATTTGTGAAGGATGAAGCAGTCATCCAAAACAGCCTTCTCAAGAACTGTATAAAAAAGTAGAAACAAGCTTAAAACATAGCCTGGGATCTAAAATATCCCTCTCCTGGCCGCCTCCTCCACCAAACTCAGACTGCCTCCTCCTCTGCCTGCAGAGCCATGGGGGGGGACTGGCCTGAGGCACAGCTCTGTGCATCACCCACTGACACTGCCTGCAGCCTGGAGGAGCTGGGGCACTGTGAGCGAGGGCTCCTCCTGGCAACTGCTCCCCTTATCAACCTTCACTGCGGAGAAGCTTTCGTGGCAATAGAAGGACTGTCTGAGGCACTGAGCAGAAATAACATCAGCACGTCCTCAGCCTGCACGGGGGCTTTGCAAAGCAGAGGAGACAAAGACAGGATGTGATGGCATGAGAAGCTGGGGAACCAGGGAGCCCTGGGAAGGCTACATCGAGGGAAGGAAACCAGAGGGATGGGAGGAGATGCTCTGTGTTGGGGGCCTGGAGGTGGCACGCAGTCCCACGTGCTCCCCAGATGGTGACTCAGCCCTGGCTTCGCCAGGACAGCAGGCACTGTGGCTCTGAGAGACATCCCAGTCTGCAGGAGTTGCTGAAAGCAGGATGTGAAACACCAGCAAGACAAAAATGAAGGTGGTCAGCCTCTAAAAGAGCTCAAAGCAGCTCTAGCCTGCAGGTACAAGTCTTTCAGGCACATGTGAAAGAAAGATTGCCTCTAGATACACGTAGAGATGAAGGAACAGATAGAAAACTTAAGTCAGAGAAGGGTGGCAAAAGAACTTGGCAACCCAATAGCCTCTTGAATCCCACCTCACATGTGCTGAGCCAGGAGCCAACCAGCTGTGACTTCCAGCATGACCAAACACCACTGATGCAGAGACACGGACACCCCAGCAGTAACATGGCAATCCACCACCTTTCCTTTCTGTAGGGTAAAAGGTCTGTTTTCTCAGCTCTAATGAGGGCAAGCTCATCAGTGCAGCCAGGGGGAGCCCCTCAGCTGGTACCCAGTCGTGCAGAAAGGATGCAGGAGGACACTGGAGGAAGAGGACAGCCGTGCTGGTGCTGGTCACTGCCCCACAGAGGCTCCTCCGAGGGCATGGGGTGAAAGCCCCCTGCAATCAGCTGTAGCTGCAGTTCTCTACTGCCAGCTGGAACACGAGGAATTCATAGGTGTTCATAGGAATCCTTCTGTCCCATGGTAAAACTGACAACAGCTGTGATGGAACAAAAAGGGAAGGACAGCGTCCAAATAACCATCTCCTTGCAGATGACTTATTTTGGGAGGCAATTACCCTCTGTGCCCCACACCCCTGGCTCCAGCACTCCTCTGAAATGCCTGTGGGGAACCAGAGCATCCCATGAGCACTGGCACTGTGCTGCAGCACGGCCCCACGGCCACCAGCCATCACCGACATCAGCGGCCTTCTGCTTCATTTCTGCTTCTAGAAAGGCAACACTCGGGGTAAGTAACCATGTATTATTAATCAACGCTCTGCACACTGTTGAACTTTCATAATGACATGTTAATATTTTCACTGAGAAACAGAGGAAAATGGGCTCTGATGGCCGGACTGAATCACTACCTCATCAGAATGCCAGTCCTGTGCTGAGCATCCATCGTGCGTGCCTACAGGCTAGCAAGCACCTTCCTACAAAGCCTCATCAAAGCACAGGAAATATTCCTCCTCTCGCCTGCAGAAGACAAGACAGGGAGGCATCTTTTCAGAGGCCATGAGTGACACGGCAATTCATGCTTCTAGGAGAGGCTCTGTTTCTTCCTCCTCACCTGTCCTCCCTGACACACGGAGTCCCACCTGACTCATGTGCTGAAAAATACATCTCAAGAAGTCATCATTGCTCTCATGAGTCATGAGAGAAGGGGAGGAAATGACTCCATGATAGATGAATCAACTTAGAGGAGAGCTGAGGCAGAAGAAAACACAGCGGGAAGCTGTGGGATCCCCTCTGCTTTGGAGGAGCTTAGCACGACGTGGAGGATATTCGAAAGGTCCAACATCTCAGCCCACCAACTTTTCCATTTCCAGATGTCAGCACCACCAACCCAAGGCACCAAACACCCACGTGCCTGCGGCATGCAAGGCATTGCTCCATCCAGCAGCAGTCCTCCAAAGGAGCCTTGTGAAAGCACTAACTCAGGTCAGTGGATCGCTTCTTCCATCACTAAAGCAGCACCAAGTGCTGGCTCTTGGGTCTGGGCGCTGTGAGAACCGCTCCTGTGCCAGGCCCAGCACCATGTGAGCCTTTAGCAATGCACCAACCACCCCTGCCCAAAAACTCCAAGGCAAAGGGAGGCACAACAGCAGCAGGCTGCCAGGTGTGCTGCTGTCCAACCGGCCCTTCTGACAGGGTGCACACCTCTGGGATGTTGAGTAGAGCATGAAATGTGCTCAAGCACGCCCACAAACTGCACGAACACAGGGATGCAGCATGCCCTATGCATGCCCTACACCTCCCAGACTCAGAAGCCAAACATGTAACAACCTTCTTCTCCCCAGCCCGTGTCCACCACCCGCGTCAGCCCTGCAGACAGCCCCACGCCATCCCATCCCTGACACACAGCCCTGTGATCTCTGCCCGCTGCTGCCTCACCACCAGCAGATTGCCTCGCTGCACTACAGATAAACTCATTTCACAAGGAGAGCTGCAAAATGGGATGGTAGATTCGGAAACGTACGCAGGGAACCCACGAGGGCAGCTCATACATGTAGTCCATCACAGGATTCAAAAGCCAGGCATCAGCACATAGACATTCTGGTTCATGCGCTTCTAAACAGGAAAAAAACCCTACTTGTCTGTAACTCATGAGCTGTGTAGGGACACTGGAAGCACCTTTGCTCCCACCCACCGCACACCTATCACTGAATTTGCTGCCAAGCTTCGGCTGTCCCTCGTACTCCTATGGCAGCACCTCCAGCTGTTAATGGCACGCTGGGAGGAGACACGAATCCACAAGATACCTATAGCAGATCCTCATGGGATAATTCCTCACGTGACAGCCAGACATATTCCAAAAAACACTGATGTGAATAAGTGCCAATTGGCAGACGCGGCTCCCAGAAAAAGCCACACAACCATAGGAATTACTTTAAAGCCAAAACCGTAGTGCTACAACAGCATAAATCATCTTCTTCAAAACTGAGTGTCAGCCAGGGCTGGCACACATCACCTTACCTTTAATGCACGGACTTTCTTGGCCAGCAGGCTTTCAATGTCCCCTGCAACCTTCTCCACTAATTTTCTGGGCACGTTCTCCTTGACTTCAAACAGGTTTCTATTCTCATTGTAGATCTAAGAAGGGAAATAAGAGAAAGACAGTCAATATTGCAGAGATATACTGCAGCATTCGCACAGAAAAGCTGGAGCTACAACACAGAGGAAAGTTAGCCACATGGACCAGGTGACAATACAGGCTTAGGAAAAGAGAATGGAAGTCTTTGCAAGCAAAATGCTGCGTGTGGCCTGCTGCCCATCCCACTGGCTTCATAGTTGCCTTTCTTCTTATGTGAAGGCTACGAGCATCCTGCTTAGCCAAAGGCTGAGCTGCCCCTACACTGTCTGCACCCCCACCTCCACCCGTGCTCATCCTCATCTCAGCGAACCCCCAAAGAGCACAAGCAGCCCTCAAGTCCCTTCCCCAGGGTCACTCGCCAGATTCTGCAAACGCGAGAACAGCGGTACCAAGTCTGCTGGAGTTCAAGAAGCATTTGGACACAGCTCTCAGAAATAGGCTTACCCTGAAGGCCAGATGCAGATACCCAGATGTGAATGCCTTCATTCAAAGCCTGCAGCTGTGACCCACAGCTCTTCCACACCAACCCCCTCAGCTGCAGAGAGCCGAATCTGCCCTGAGGAAGTGCTGTGGGCACCAGCACTGTCCCAGCAAGATGGGACCAGTCCCAGCACGAGGCTTCTGAAACACCAGACCCTCCTCGGATCACTCCCAGACCTGGTGGCAGCATCCTGGCTGGTTCTCTGGGCTATGTCAGGGGTGAGGTGTGCAACGGTGGTGGGATGCAGTGCTTCATAGGCACAGCGTGCAGCTCAAGAACAGGATGGAAACATTGCAGAAGGCACTGTTCCAATACAGTGTGAAATCATGCGATGGGCTGGAGCAGGTCGCACCCCTGTTCACTAAAAGGTAACTGGCAACAAATTCAGGGCCTCAGCAAAGAAGCTTCCTTGTGACCCTTCTGTTTAAGCAAAGCAGTTCTGGGGGCTGGAGCCATAGGAGAGGGCTCTGATCAGAGCGAAGGGTTGCTTTCCCTGCCTTGCCTTGCAGAGCTGCAGGGTTCAGCTGCTCCCTGCAAGTGTTGCTGCAGCCCCAGTTCTGCAGAGCTCCTCCTCCCTCCTCCACCACCACAGCTGTGGTGGGCAGCTCCAAGCACTGCTGCCTGCAAGGGCTGCACCAAAGTGCTTGGATCCCCATCCCACCCAAGCTCAGCACTAACTCAGCACCTCCTGCCTCGCCTCTCACTGCAGGCACTCTCTTGCGTGGGAGCAGTTATTCCCAAGGAGATGCCCCAGTAAGAGGCTGAGTTGCAGAGGCACCTGCAGCTGAGCAGGAGTTCAGAGCTGAGCGGGTTCAGAGAGCTGAGCTGGGGGCTGCGTCCTGTGTCCTGCCACAGGAGGTCCCTCATCAGAGAAAAGTGTCAGCACGCAGAAGGTTAAAGAGGAAAAACTCAGCACAAAGCAATATTCTCTCATATTCTCTTTTCCCTTTAGTAAGCAGCATAACAAAATAATGTGTTTGGAAGGCACGCTACCTCCAGCTGAGCAGCAGCAATTAGGAAAGCAAAGAGGAGCAATCTTCAAGGAGAGCGCTCCGGGTAAGGAGGGCATCTAACATCAGCACTTCCCTACTATGAAACAGAACATTGGCCACCAATGGCTCCAGACAGAAGCAGTGCCCATCCACAGGGGGGGGCACAGAGTGAGAAAGCACAGGCGTCCACCCATGCCTGCAGTGCCTGCAGCTGAGCAGGGCCTCGGTGCCAGTGAGAGCACTGCAGGCCCTGAAGCTCCCTCAGCTGTAGCACAGGGACTTCATTTTGTCATTCTCACGGAAATTCTCCCCTAACCTGGTGCTTGGAGATGACCTCCGGGCTGTGAAACTGCTGCTCCAGACTACATGCAGGCTCAGGGACCCAAAGCAAACACTAAACCACAGCCAGGATGCCCCACGTTCATCCCAAATGCTGCACAGCCACAGGAAGAAGCAGCTGAGGCGATCTACAGCAGCAGAACGCAAAGGAGCCTTGCTAAAATGCAGAGCCTGTAGCACAACGCATTATCAATACACATTTGTAGTAGCAACTGTATCATTGAAGAAACAGATCTGATACTGTGTCAGAACAATCATTCTCTAAGCCCACCCATGTGCCTTGCTGCTGATGCATGACAGACAGTGCTCATCTCCACCATCAGCTCCCTCTGTGCCCATATGTCCTGTGAGCTGCTGGGGCTTGGAGCACTCACAGCTTCACAACCCCTCTTCCCCTCCCCCCCCTCCCCGTGCTCCCAGCACCAGGACACCACCACACCACACAGTCTGAGGACAAGCAGAGCATGAGCAGAAATTCTCATCTTCCAGAAATGTTTTTCCCTTGTAAGAATCCAGTGCACCTGGCTTGGACAGCTGCAGTCCGTACCCCAGCGCTTAAAGATGGTGCAAAGTGAAGCAAAGCACTGCAGGCAGCAGAGCAGTAGGACGCACTAAGACAAGGCTGTGCCACGCTCTGCCCTACAACAGCCATGCACCAATCAATTCTTTCACACCAGGTGCTACTACAGCACACAGAACAATATTTCAGCCTCCTGCAGCCAGCCCCGTGCCAATCAGCTCTGCTCACTGACCCAGATATGGGACCTGACTGCTGCGACAAAGGCTGCAGCAGGAGGCCCTGCCTGACCTGTGGGCTGTGCTTGGCGGTGCTGTGGGACTGCTGGGCCCCCTGGCAGCTCTCTGACCCCCAATCCAGCCTGTTCCTTGCGGCTCAGGACAGCACGGGGCTCTGCAGCAGGCTCACCCCGGGTGTGCAGAACCAGGGAGCAGCCTAAGCGATGGGCAGGGACAGTCCTGTGAGAGCTCTGCGAGATGGTCCGTGCTGTGCAAGAGGTGGGGAAGCTGAGTGTAAAACCCCACAGAACCCATAGAAGCTGCTGGAGGAAAGGGATTGCAGGGCTGCAGGCAGAGTGGGCACAGAACGGTCCCATCTCACCCCCCAGCCCCACTGCACCTCCTGTTGGCCCATCCCATCACCCGGTGCCCATGTTACAGCAGCAGGATGCTGGGCACAGTGCGGCAACAGGCTCAGCCAAAGGGCAGTCAGAGCAGGCCGTGCTGGCACTGCAGGATGAGGGCTGCTGCCTGCAGCTGAGCGAGGGCTCTGCAGAACCAGCACTGAGCCAAGAGCTGCGCGCCTGGCCACGGCCTGGGCCTCATCCTCAGTGAGAGCCACCGCCTCCTCCCCCCACAGAATTTCTTGAGAGGGAAGGCAGGAAGCAAACAGCTTGACATTTGCCAACCCCATCTCCCCCTCCTTGTGCAGTGCCATTCCCTGCTGCGTTCTTTCCTTCCCCCTTCACAGCAAAAGGCAGCCCTGCACAGCAGGCGCAGGGCAGGGAAATGGGCAGCCAAGGCTCTGCTTAGGGACGGCCAGCTGTAATTGAAGCAAAGAAACAGCAGAGCTGCAGCCCTCATCCCGCACTGCAGGGGACGCCGGGTTCCCCACCCTCCTAGGGACAACAGTGGTACACACATCTCCCCATCTCCCAGCCGTGCCCTGCACTGCCCACAGGACTTCTGCTCTCCACCCAGGATCTGAAGCAATCCAGTCTGCTACAAATAATTCAGCAGCTAGACAGCAATAAAGAGCTGAGCACGGTCAGCTTGGCTTATGTAAAACCTCTCCTGGCCCAGAAAGCTGCTTTCAGCCTTCAGCATCCCAAACCCTTATATGGAGAACTCGGAGCACCAGAGCTGCCCAGGCACCTGCAAAGGCTGAGCCTCTCACTGGGGGATGTGGGTCACAGCTCTGAGCTTGGGCTGCTCCCTGCAGAGGAAGGGCTGTTGAAAACAAACCACCACATCACTGAAAAAGTCCAAGCTTCAGCAGGATGTGGACTCTGCCTGGGCTGTTCCTGCAGCAGCTTGAGCCCCTGCGCCTGCACAGGCAGGTATCCACATCAGAGACCACATGACAGCTACAAATATGCACAAGTGCAGCAAGATGAACCACAACAAACAAGTCAAAGTGAAAAATAATCTGATCTTTGACTCTGGCTGCTCTCTGGGTTATCCAACACAGAAATCCAGATGCTTCAGAAGTCAATGCAAAGTATTTTTAAAACGTGCATTAAGAGCTTTCCTCCAGGATATATGCAGAAGAGTTTAACCGGTTGCATTAAACTCTGTCTATTCAGAACAGCTGCAATTCTTTAGATCAGCAAATTGTGCCTAGCATAGCCCAGGAGGGATGCTCTTGTGGATGAAGATGTGCTGTACTGCTGTGTTTCATCTTTATACTGTCCCTACCAGAGGTACGCTCTCTGCACTGTGCGCTGTGCCCCACTTACCCCACCAACACTCTGATATAACAAAATGATGTCGCACCAAAGCAAGGAACAGTTCAGCTCAAAGGGCGCATTGATCAAACAGTGCAAACCCTTCCAAAAATCCACACTTGATTTATATTCATCCAGCTCATATCAGTTTCCTGCTGGTTTACCTATAAGCAAGGATTCAAATCAATTTCCAAACAGGTCATCCCAGCCTTTAGGAACTGGCTGCAAGTAAATGATCATCCGGGCTTCTGTCCCCAAACAGCTTCATCTCCCATGCCAGAAAGCTGCAGCTTCTTGCAGGAAGGGCTGTGCAGCCCTCGAGCTCTCAGCTGTATTTTGCAGCCTTTCCTTCTAACTCAACAAGAACCAGGGTCACATTTACCCTGTACCACCTTCTGCTCTGCCTGATGGCCACCACAGGCAATCGCAGCACTGAGCTGCAGCGACGTGAATTCGGGATAACTGCACTGACATGGAATTAAACTAAATCTCCTATTAGAGCCACTGCGATCGGAATCTAGGCCAGTACACATCAGCAATATCAACAGTTACCCACAGTTTTCTGCAGAGTAATGATCTATTAAAGAAAGGAAAAAAAAAAAAAAGGTACTTTTAAAAATAGCAACTTGGCAATTCTCTTTATTTACCTTTTGATGTGGGTTTTGGGGCTCTCTCTCTGATCTTCAGGGATTCGTGTTTACAAGCTTTTCTCCCTAATCTCCGGC